AAACAATTAAAAATGCCAAGCAATAAGCATGCAGAAGTACTGTTCGATGCTTTTACCATTCATCCTCCTCCAAAGACTGATTTTTTGTACAAATCACTTGAGCGCAGATGTTTTTGGCACCTAACGTTTCAAGTTCTTACCTTTCGTAGAAAGCACGAAGTCTTGGGACGACCATGGACTGGACATAGAAGTTTGGTGCTTTCGAGACCTGGATCACCCGGACGTCTATATCAGTAAAGACCACTAGGTCACATAGCTTGCAGCCAACTATGGCCATCTGCCCCTGCACTTGCTACCAGTATTTGCAATGGGCATTCAGTTGAAGACACCCACTAGAGTCACGCTCCAGCCAATCAGCACTCTCTGCAAAGATCAAACTCTCCCTCCTGGAGAAGATGCCTTTCATCTCCACTACCCGGTCGGGTACCACACCGTCTGGGGAACAGGCGAGATACGGCCTCTCTGTGTCCACCACCAACCCACTCCTGGCGACTGTGATGTCGGTCTCTACCTCGTACTGTCGCCGAATCAGGTCCGAATCAGGAATCAGGTTCCGACGGTCCTGCCGCAGGCGCCGGATCCGTAGCGGACGGTCCTGCCGCAGGCGTCAGTCTTGCGGTCTTCTTGATGTGCTGAAAGCAAAACAAAAATACAAATAGTAGCACAAATCTGAGTATATGAGGTAGGACCATGAAATCACTAAGGTTTACGTAAAACGCTGATGAACGCAATAGTTCCAAAAGCTACAATCATGTAACTTCCGTAAACCACTTACCAGCCAGGACATCGATGACGTTAGTGCTTCCCAGCGCCTTCTTCTGGTTTTGTCCTTTCATGGAGAGCTGGCGGGAGAACTCCGGAGAGATGATTGCCGGCAGCATCTCCATCACGCTTGTCTTCAAGTCTGTTGTGCACCACCGGTCCAGGTGTGATAGCTGCAAAAGTCGACACCATATGCAGACCAGGTGGGCACATTCACCGTGTCTGTCGCTGCCATCAGGTTTAAAGGGAGATAATGACCTTTTTCCACAAAATCTGAGTTAGGATCATTTTCTGACAAAACACAACAAGTTATAATGTAAATTAAAACCATTTTGCTCAATGCGGTACCTTGCCGCAAATATCTCAACTTGAAGTCACGTTAGCGGGGAGCGCTGAAAATGACCGTTGAATAAGTACTTACATCACTTTTTGGTACTTGCATGTAATTTTGTAAAATGAGCGTATTCCTTACATTTGATCTTCATCACATCTAGTTAGTTAATGGTCGTCTATAGTGCCTTCAAAAGATATTCATGGTTTGGGGGTGGTTTATGTCTAAATTTACGCAACTATTTTTCCTGTTCATCATCTGAGGCCATATGCTGCTATTTTAGTAGCAACGACTCAATTTTGAATCGGTCCCGCCGACTGCACAATAAAAGAAGATAGATACAACACTTTTGCGGCATCACTGAAAAACTTATGCAGTACTGTTATCAAAATTCTCATAACACCGTTCGACAAACCTGAAGTCTTTTTGAAATAAATATGCTTGTATTTTTCGCTTCAGGCTCTGAGGCCAAAATAATGAATTTCGTAGTCGCAATCGCAAGATTTGGCTGCGTTTCTGGCGCATGCCGTTCATTTGTGGCGCAAAATAATACCTGGAAACAAAGAAGAGTAGGCACTATGTACGAATCTAATTAATTCTAAACCGAATTAACTCTAATTCAAATTAGAATCCTTACAACCAAGCAACGACAAGGCGATAACATAAACAAAAACCCAAGCGTCGCTGTTTGAAACAAAAGCGCCATATACTGCGACTTTTTTATAGAGAAGGACAAGAAGGACAACGCATTTCGGTGGGTGTTACAAGTACTGCAAGTACTGCTTCTTTTTTGCAAAAATAAAAGCCTTTTTCACATACGAAAATGTGCTAGGAAATTTTCATATTTTATAGAAACTACAGTAGAAATAGTATAGATGTCGAGTAATTTTTATTAAAGAAAAAAGAAAGCTCATTATCTCCCTTTAAGGTGAGGGCGGCACAGCGGCGGTGGGTGGGCAGCCTGATCCCGTTGTCCTCGGTTTCGGGATCTTCCAGGAGAAAGACACCCAAATCGACGGGCTCAAGCGTGGTGGGCTATTCAGTGTCGGAGACATCGCCGGGCTCGTCTTTACACTGGGGGGCTGGGACCTGTAGGACCGTAGGCAGGTAAGCATAAAGCAACAACTTATTAACGGAAGCAATGGCTGTTAAACGGGAAATTGCCAAATGGAATGGAAGTTAAACGGTAGCCTTCTTCTCTTTTCATGACCTCCTAATTCTCAGCGACTGCTTTTTTTAGCAAAGATGGGCTCACACTAAGCAGATATTGCCGCGAAGATCTTGTTCAGTGTCCGTTACGTGCTGATCTCGCAATTTATGATAGTCACATAATCACTAAGCCCATGCTTATGCTGTTTATTAAGTCCCAGTTCGTACCTTGGTGTCTTCAGAGTCCGTTTCAGTGACGGGGTCGATACATCCGTCACAGGTGCCCGATCCGTGGCGGACGGTCCGGCAGCAGACGCCGGATCCGTGGCGGACGGTCCTGCCGCAGGCGCCAGTCTTGCGGTCTTCTTGATGTGCTAAAAGCAAAACAAAAATACAAATAGTGGCACAAATCATGGTAGATCAGAAATGAAGGGCAGGTTCAACAGATCTCCAAATAGGGAATGGCTACTGGAAACAGGAAGCAAAAGAAGGACAAAAGGTTTTGATACCAGGCTGGAGGTATTTATGCATCATACGTGGCAGTATAAATTGGAAGTCCATTACAGAGCCAACGGGATACAAAAAGGTTCCAGAAAGAAAGCCTCTAGAAGGCCATGGAATAGGACTACAACCATGACAAAATTTCAAATTACACCAACTCAATGAAGGCACGCTTGTCTGTTTGATTGAAGCGTTCATCCTCTTCTGACACAAACACCAGAATGGAAATGCACTAGTATTATTACTCTGACTGAATACAGAGAATGGCATTATTGCATAAGGTTTGGAATGCAATCTTCATACAAGTATCTTGAATGTATTGTCATAATTACAAGGCCTGTTAATGGACTGCCTATTCAGGGACCAGGCTCATCCAATTTTGACCAAGGCAAAAAAAAAAAAACCATACACTCTGTTTGGACTTTAGACAGTTACTAGTGACCTCACATGGCTTGGCTGAGTAAATGACTGACATTTTGATGAGCAATTTCGCCATACATACTTTGCCGGATAAGGAATATGCATGTCTCTGGAAAAATATGTGGTATTGAATAACAGAATGTTGCAGAAAGTGACAGTGGGCCGTGGGGTGGTGGTTAGATACAAGTAGAGGCATTACCCAAGAAGCCAACTGTATATCACTTACCAGTGATGGAACTGCTGACTTCCTCAGGTTTCCAGAAGGCTGAAAGTCGTGGACCGCAAAGTGTTGGAGCACACACGTATATTTTTGCTGTCCTCCAGTGTGACCCCCAACGCAGCCATCCAAGCAGTATGGACATGGCTGTCAACCGCAGCTGGTATCCTGTAACAGAACTCAACTGGTTAACACGCCTGGTTTGGTTCCCATTTCCATTCTGAGCCCAAAGCAAGGTCAGGAAATAGTGAAGGATATGTAGGAACACTCATCGAAAGACGTGCCATCCCAGATGGAAACAATGCTCAAATAATTACAATGCATATTATTGCTGGAATTAGGCATTTTCAATGAGCACAAACATGACTATCAAAAGCACAACATAATTATCATCATGTTTTCAGTGTTGCTCTGCAAAATGACCATCATTAATAGACTGAAGATTATTTTTTATGCAGTTTTAGCTTTGCCTAAAATGAATAAATATCTTTTGAAGGTTTTTAATAACACCAATATACAATCCAGGACAAATCTTTGTACCGCATATATTTGTCAATCAGTTTTGAGGCTCAGCAAATCATTTACCTAAATCAAACAAAACATAATCTGGTAATTGTAAGGGAGATATCGTAACGTACGTAACGTATACGAGAGCGAGCAAAGTATATTTTTTTAATCATGACCAAAACAGACATTAATTTTCTAACGAAAATACTCGTGCACGGTAGCACGTGTTTATTGATGTTTAGCACCCCTACAGCCCCCCTCCAAGTCGGAGAGTCACACCGACTTCACGAGCACATTATTTCATGTAAGGGAGATATCGTAGCGTACGTAACGTATACGAGAGCGAGCAAAGTATATTTTTTGAATCACGACCAAAACAGACACATCAATTTTCTAACGAAAATACTCGTGCACATTAGCAAGTGCTAATTGATGTTTAGCACCCCTATAGTAATCAAATCTATCCATGCCTTGAGTTGCACTAGTAAAACTATTTTTCACAAAGTTTCAATGGACGAAGATTTGTCCGGATATGTCTACTAACCGCATCAGGAGCAATGTTCGTCCGGACAAAGCTTCATCCATTGAAATTTTTCTTTAAGTTGTTTTGTTGGGGTAAATCAAGGCTAGGATAGGTTTGATTAGGTTATTTTAGGTAGGTTTAGGTTAAGTTTTGTTGATTTGTTTTGCCTCAAAACTGATTGACGAAGATTTGCGATACGAAGCTTTGTCCTGGAATCCTACTAACCTGTGCAAGGTTCGTTCCTCTGGGCCATGTTTTCCCCTTTTCTTGCGCCAATTACAAATAAAGCACTTGCTGCCGGTCATATCCCATAAATTGCAAATAATCCAAATGGCATAAGCCACAACCTCTACCTGCGCCGCTGGCGAGGGGACCGAGGAGCAGCATCTGTTTAGGATGGTTTAGGATACCGTCCAAAAAACAGAACATCTGTTTCGAGCGGGTCTGCTGCGTCGAGCTGACGCGGACGGCTCGGTCCTGGCTGAGCGTCGAACTGACGGCTCGGTCCTGGCTGAATGTTGTGGGCCGGCCATTTCGGCCGCCCTCGTCGGAGCCGGGGTCCGCGGATGGTGTTGGCGTCACAGTCGGTAGAGGAGAAGTGAGAGAGTGTATTTAGAGAACATAGGTTTTATGGTGGGTGTCGGGACGCAAGCACGTGACCGGACGGGCAGCCGGCCAGCGAGCCGGCTGTCCCGTGTCGCTATGCGCCCCAGACACCCAGACAGATACAAAAAAGGGGGGTCCGACATTTGGGGCCTCCATCGGGAGTGGGAGGCATGATTTCCTTCTCCACATATCTTTCCTCCCCCAACAAGCCGACAAGAGGAGGCGACCAATAAGCAATCACGATCCTAACTGCATAGATCCACGTATGACACCGCGCATGGAACGCCAGGTACGACTGCTACTGCTGCAGGTACGGCTGCTGCTGCAGGTACGGCTGCTACTGCAGGTACGGCTGCTGCTGCTACTGGTACTGGTACGCCTGTTGTTGCTACTACTGCTGCTGCTGTTGTCGCTGCTCTCCGGTTTGGTTGTCTCGTCATTGTAGTCGTCGCTGTTATCGTCGCCGCGATGGTGTTCCGTTGTCGATGCGTGGGACCAGACACCTCTGCTTGTTGGGTGCTGACGTCTGAGCTGGTTGTGAAGGGGCAGCGGCCATGGTGCGCCGTGACGGTGTGGCCTTTACCGTTCACGAGGCGTTGGCTGCCGCCGCACAGCACTGATACCGGAGACGTCAGCGTACCAGAACTTGGTGTTGCTAGCGAGGGTGCCGGTAGCCGTGTTGTTCATCGACAGCGGGCGGGCGACGAGTTGTGCTCAGCCATGGTGATGGCGGCTGGCACGGGCGACGACAGTGACGGACGAACGGACGGAGAACAGCGAGGCACGATGAGCAGATGAGGTAGCAGCGACGGCAGGCGGCCATGTGGGTCAGCCAGGCGTTGGCTTTGGACCTAGGCCACCTGCTGGTTGCAGTTGCAGCCGTTGCAGGCGGTGATGGCGTCCGCAGTTGCAGTGTGTGATTCGTGGATCAGATGCAGAGCGACTGAGACAGCCAGACGGGTCGGCGATGAGCGTCCGATCCCATCATGACTATCATCAGCCAGCTTTTGCAGACTGTGATGCGTATCGGCGTTTCTCCGTAGTCGATGCTCGGGGAGTCAGATAGTGGCCACTCCCAGATGGGTAACAGAAACGCAAGGCCTGTAATAGAAAAAGAACCGAATTAAAATGTGCCGAAACAATGCCCCAACATATACATCATACAAAACAGTCATTCATATTTACAGCTGTACAGTACAACATTTGTACAAAAGGCACGTAGCACTGGGCGACACAAGTGTCGTAATGCTTCCCCAGGCGTGCCACGGAACCCATGGACTTTCAAAGGCCAAAACATTTGGGTCCGTAGGACATTCGAATTTGTTTCCGTGTCCAAGTATTCAAACATGCATCCACATATACTTTTTGTTATCATGTTGTGCTATCGCTGTGCCGGTCAGTGATACATTTTCCCTGGTGTGTGATAACAATATAGTGTGATTAAACGGCAGTATGAACTTTGTGAAGGCTGAACATTCATTGGAAGACATCATGGTATAAATGACACGGAAGACATGTTTTTGACACAGCGGATAGCAAAACATTGAATGATTGTTAAAAACGGGCAGTACCGCCGGTCAGTCGATCGAGAGATCGGTTACGTCGCAAAGTGAGTAGTAAGGAAAAAAAATGGGGCTAATGAGCCAATGACTAGCAAAAGACCGGTTTTAATAGTACTGCCAAGTGACTTATTTTTAACGAATAAATTGAAGAGGCCAATGTTTTTAGTGGGTTAAAGTGTTATTGGAATATCTAACTATTGTTAGAACTTACTTGTTATTTAATAAAAAAAATATACGGTTGAAAAAAATGAAGTCCTTTTAAAGAGTGGCGTCTTCTGAACGAGTGCATCTGTGTATCACGTCATACCCGTGAAATCGTTTGGGAAGGCATGCAAACAGCAATACTTCTAATGTAGTTATATCGCTGTAAATTGTTGAATTGGCAAACTTTCTGTGGACAATTTTTTATTGCCACTTATTACTTTCGCTGGTGTAAATTGTTCAGAATGGCCAAACGTTATTGGTCAATGTTATAGAAGTCGTTTTTTGTTCACCAGATGACCAAAATTAAAGCTAATTAGTAGTTAGTTCGATAAAGTATACTGTTAATTAATTGGGAATATCGAGAAGCATGCATGTCCTTTGGGTATTATTTGACGCTGCACTCGTTCCGCCACAAGAAGCACGAACCTGAAAAAGAAACAGGGCTAATGTGTCAGTATCAAGACATTTTTGACATTGCAACATATGTAAAGGAATGAAAGATGGCAACAGGAAGCGACAACATAGGTTTTGGCAATCATACAAATGAGAATCATTCACCTCTCATACTAGCATATATATCGTGGATGCTTTATTTACAATGAATTGAGCTCAATGAAATTGCAATTAATCTCTTCCGTTTACATTGAGTAAACCTTTTGCTCAGCCTTTGGCTGGCGGTGTGCGCGAGGGACGTAATCATCAACCTTCGTTCGCATCACGTGAAATGGGATCTCTGTCACCATTATTGGCCGTACGTCGGCTATTAACATGCGCGGGAGGGACCTCGTCAACCTCATTGTAACGCAGCATGTCTTCTGCAGGCAAATAATATATTTGAGCGCTAAATGGGCGCTATGTGAGCGCTATATTCCTTCTTGACGGTCTGGGGGGCGTATGTTTTTGCGAGACCAGAGGTTATACCGCAGGTGATCAGCCTGACTAACCTCTCGGCCTGCTCGACAATTTCGCCAATCTTCCTCCAGCCGTGTAAGATCACTCTGGTCGATCCCATTCTCTTCAGAAGGAGTCACCAACGTCCCTGGCTTTGCCGGCAGTGTAACAGGTGAACGTGCACCGTTGTTGCTGCTCTGTGAGGCATTACACACGGAACGAATGGCAGATTCGTTGCTGAGAGACTGTGAGTCGACGCAGGTGTCGATTTGATCGTCTTCTTGACGATTGATGTTACAGTGCTCTGTCCAAAATCTGTGAGCACTTTGGTTTATGTGAAAACGACAGGAGTCTACATACTTTTTGAAATCGGAGTATATGTTCCTCCAGTAAAATTGAAGGCTAATTTTGGAAAGAATGTTTCTAAGTAACTTGTGTCCTGACGAAAGAGTGTCATGGACTTTCTCAAGCATCAGTTTTTTCATTGAATTTGGAACTACAAGTTGATTCATAAACTGATGAATCTTGGAATTTTGTTTGGCTACATGGTAAAGTAAGCCATCTGAACCTAAGAAAAAGTTGGAAAGAGATTCATTCAGCTTCAGATCAGGGCCTTTAGCTTTCGGTTTCACGAGGCGATCAATGATTGGCATCAAATCTGGGTCTTTTCGCTGTTCAGCTTTGATTTTCTCTTTTGTCCATCCTGTGGTTTCTGCAGACATGGCCAAGAAAGTCTGCTTTGTTTTGTGTATCTAATTCGGCACTAGACGAATGATCAGTTGTAACATTCAAAATACCTGGTAGATAAGTGACATCAAAATCATACGCTGATAGTTTTACTAACCATTTCTTTAAACGACCGCTAAGATGAGTTGACTTGAAAATACATTTTAATGGTGAATGATCTGTCATGACATGAGTGACATGACCTAAAAGATAAGATCGCAAATGATCAAAAGACCATAAAATTGCAAGGCATTTCTTTTCTGAAGTAGAATAATTTCTTTCAGCTTTGCTAAGCTGTCGACTAATAAAAGCAATTGGGTGAAATTCATCACCATATTTTTGTTCAAGTACGCCACTAATGGCGAAATCACTTGTGTGTGTAAATAGGTAGAAGTCTTTTTCGAAATTTGGAAATATTAATAAAGCGCATTTTCGTAGTGACCTTTTTATCGATGAGAATGCTTTTTCGCACTCTTTTGACCAAATAAAATCAACATTTGTCTTTGTCAAATGAATTAACGGAGCAGTAAGCTCAGCCAGTTTTGGAATGTGTCTGCGATAATAGTTCGCAAACCGAAGGAAAATACGAACATCTTTCGCTGTTTCTGGTACAGGGAAATGTTGTACCGCTTGTAATTTGGATGCATCTGGACGAATTCCATGTTTGTCAAGTGTGAAACCCAGATACTTCACCTGAGATTTCATAAATTCACACTTTTCGGGGTTGATCACAAGATGAATTTCTTCTAAACGAGAACATATATTGTCGAGTTTTTCTAAATGCTCGTCGTACGTTTTGCTAGCGATAAGAATATTGTCAACATATAAAAATGCATCTATGCCTTGAAGACTACTGAGTGCAATTTGCAAACCTCTGTTGAGAACGGAGGAACTTGAACGAAGGCCCATTGGTTTATCGTTCATATGATATTTGTCGTCATCATTTGTAAAATCCGTAGAATGACTTGAAGCTTCATTCAAAGAAATTTTGTAGAATGAACTAAGCAAATCCAAGGTAGAGAAAACTTCACAGTCAGAAAGTTGATCTTTGACCTGTGATGTAAATGAACGAGAAAACTTGTCATCCTTGATTTTGGAGTTGAGAAGTCGCAAATCTGAAACGAGGCGATATTGACCATTTGATTTCTTGATAAGAATGATTGGAGAGTTATATGGTGAGACAAGTGGTTTGATAACTTTGGCTGTTATCATGCGTTCTATATCTTCCTTAGTTATCTGCCGATGAGCAAATGGGAGACTTGTTCGTTGATCAACCGGAGTGTGTGTGAATCCATTGTGATTTTTGTAAACATCTGTCTGTTGTATGTCAGAAATATCATTTCCAAAGACATGTCTATGTTTGTCTAAGAGTTCACGGAATTTAAAACGAAAGTGTACTGGGATGTGTTTCAAATCAATGTCACTGATAGACCTGTGCCCTGACATCCTCGGGATAGAGGTCGTCGGGTTGTTTATCTCTGTTCTGCGTCCGGTGTCTGACGTAGCCAAGTCCGGCCCAGCGACCGTTTTTTGTTCTGACGAGACGCTGGCGGAATTGGGAACAGACGGCGCTGTTTGACAGGCACTGACTGACCCATGGTACTGAGCAAGGTCAGCGTTCTGTCTGGTGGGATGGGGTCGGTCTGTGACCTGACTGAAGGGGTACTTTTTGGTCGGATGGGCTTGTGCGATTCTCTGATTTTTTCTCAAAATGACTGGGTTACTTGAAGCATTAATCACGCGTACAAGCGTGCCTGAACTTTCCAAGAAATTGATAGAACGGGCAACCTGAATGTCTCGAATACTTTGATCACAATGCGTTTGAATTAGGTATGGAAATTCATTTGGTTGTAGGAAATGTGGTAATTTTACGCGTACAAATTTTTCGCTGTAACCAGAAATTTCTACTGTTTGTTTCACGAATAATGGATATGACTTTTCGTCATCAATAGTCAATGCATGTTTTTCTGCAGTTGTGAACATGTCTACCGTTTTATCAGGATAAACGATTTGATCGACAGATTTTTCATTGTCCTTTGTTGATAAAAGAAAACGTACTCTTTTACGTCTTTTGGGACTCAGACGTTTTGAGCGTCTTTCGACTACATTGGAAGAAAGAATTGGTTTTAGAAAGTTTACTGAACGACTCGATGGATTGTAAATCAATTTGTGAGCAATGATAAAATCGATTCCGAGAATTATATCGCATTTGAATGGCAAACTTTTTGCTGAAATGAAAAATTTGTGTTGAACCGTTTGACCAAGAATGCTAATGTTCAGATTGACTTCACCTACAACGTCAATAGGATTTCCAGTAACATCAAGAATAGAGACACTGGGAGGTTCGTAAGCTACTTCTAAACCAGATTTTTGCAGACATTTTTCTGAAACTAAAGAGACACTACTTCCACTATCATAAAGAGCTGAACAAGCTTGACCCGAAATTTTGACGTCACGTAAAACCGGGGGATGTGCTGAACGGTCCCTGTCATCTGAAGCGACGCTCACGCACTCATCCCCTAGTGCAGTGAGCGGAACCCGTTTGGGCTCAGAGAACGAAAGTTTCGACGCGGTGAAAAGTTCCGGTGACAGCTCGAAAATTCATGGTGATAAGAATTTGAACAGCAATGACTTCTTTCTTGACAGCAATGACGCGAAGAGTGGAGTGATTTTGAGCGAACAGGTCGATAACGGCATTTTTGCTGACGAGATTGACGATCACGTCCTCGGCTCTGAGATTTTAATTGATTTTGATTTTGTTGAACAATAAGCTCTTCTGCTACAGCTAATTCTAAATGAGCAATTCGCCTTAAAATATCTTTCATTTGGGTGTTGTACTCAATACTAAAATTCCTAGTAGCATCTTCCATGGTTAGCCTAGCAAATAATGAAAAAAAAAATCACATAGATAAACGAATGGAACTAAATATCAAATCTCAAATCTCAAATTTCAAACATTGCAAATAGCAAATAAAATTAATTTAAAAGAGAACTCACCTGAAGCCAAAAGTCCTCCACCGACAACCAACCACCACCGCTGGCACCAATTGTGGGCCGGCCATTTCGGCCGCCCTCGTCGGAGCCGGGGTCCGCGGATGGTGTTGGCGTCACAGTCGGTAGAGGAGAAGTGAGAGAGTGTATTTAGAGAACATAGGTTTTATGGTGGGTGTCGGGACGCAAGCACGTGACCGGACGGGCAGCCGGCCAGCGAGCCGGCTGTCCCGTGTCGCTATGCGCCCCAGACACCCAGACAGATACAAAAAAGGGGGGTCCGACATTTGGGGCCTCCATCGGGAGTGGGAGGCATGATTTCCTTCTCCACAATGTCGAGCTGACGCGGACGGCTCGGTCCTGGCTGAATGTCGAGCTGACGCGGACGGCTCGGTCCTGGCTGCCGGCTGGGTCCAGCGTCTGCTGCGGACTGCGACCTCTCACAAGGGGGAACAGGACGCGGGAAGGATCTGCAGGTAGCTCCAGGTTGGATGAGGTCCTGCATAATTAAGTATATTACGTATTAATTTGCGAAGGTCTTCACATATCGTCATGTTTATTCAGCTCGCTAGATCGCGAAAACTCAGCTGGATCGCAAAATCCGCCGATTCCGGCCGAACATAACCTGACATATGACGACGTAGCCATTGGCGTAAGAGCGTTTGAAAATGCAGGTTTTTTGAACGACGATAGAGATCCGACATGCATTTCAGTTCAACTGCGGCGCACAGAGTGCATTATTTGGATGTCATTGTGAATAAAACGTGGTCATTAAACCAATGAGCATCGCGGAACGCTAGGTAAATACTCATAGGCTACCAATTTGCCAATGGCAATACAGTGTAGTGTAACTTACTCCGCGCGCCGCCTGACTCTGTCCAAAAACGGTAGGTCGTACGGGTGCGGCCTCCTGGCTGTCTCCTGGCCCCCGGACCCGCTAGGGAGCTTTTGTTTCACTTTCCTCCTCTATGGCGGTGCTCAGTGTTGTGCCGCTATGTTTCCGCGGCCGAGTCCGTTTCCGCTTTATGATCGCACACACTTGGGTTTACACTTTACAGTAATGTTGTGAGGGTCCGGCACTGCCCTGTCTAGACGCATCAGACCGCTGCTGGTAACACACTGGCGACGTTACGCTGCCGGGACGGGAGGCAGAGTGTGGTGGGATATTTCATGGACTTTCAGGGCGAACTCGACGTCCTTGTTGTATGTAGGTACTGCCCTGCGAGGCCCAGATTTGGTTTTTTTTTTTGCCACATTGACTGAGAGCGATGAACGAAACAGATCTGCGTCCTCTTCATCGGGAACACCGCTTGAAATGCGTTGATTGCGGCACGCTCAGCATCAGCCATCAAAGTGCCGTGGAACGTGCACCTCGGCTGCTCCTCATTTACTTTTTCTGTCAGCACCCTGAACAAGTGGGTATATGCCCCCTCACTTTTTTCGACCTCAAGGGCGTATATCAGTGGCATAGTCTGACCAAGGACAGTGCCGTGGACGGTGAAGAGCTGTTGGAACAGCGACGGTGCGACATCAAATGTGCCGTCCGCGGCCCAGTGGGCTTGGCGAGCTAGGTGTGTTTGTAAGCGTCTATCCCCGGCCGCTGGCGTCAGAGACAAACGCCGAACTCGGAGCCAACCAAGCGTGTATCCAGCAGACAAACAAACAAACTGAAACGCCCGTTCAAGCAGGCGCAATCCAATCACATCTCGATCCTCGCCATGTCGCGGCGCACCGAATTCCCGCGCTGGACGCGACGGGGGCTCAACGGAAATTCGGCTGATCTCTCATTGGTCAGAATAAACGATTACCTGATTGGCTCTCGCGTGGCGCGCAACTACATCATTGGACAAAATCATTACAGGAAGTCTAAAACTCTTCGGATAAGAAATATGACACATAACTAAAGAAACATTGGTACCGAACAATATTGAATAATAAAATAGTCATTACAAATCAGTATCATAACTAAATAGAACTAAACACGCGACAACAAACCAAGGACATTATTGCAGCGCCGGACGAATTTAGAGTTGCGACTTTCACTTCTGGTAGGCCCAGTATCCGCTCGCATAACATGTAAGCGGAAATCCGCTTACATGTTGAGTCAAAGGCAGCGTCTCTGTCGGCTGTGTATTGGAGCCCGATCCAGTAGCAGCAACACCCGCGCGTGGCGGCTCCCCGGTCCAGAGTGACCTGCCGCCCCCGGCTGCGGTCGCGACCCAGCGCCGTCGGCCGCAGCGGCGCGCTCAGCGGGAGGCGGTCCGCAGCGACGCGTCCAGCAGCGCGCCGAGGGGAGGCAACGGGCACACTAACACTCTCTAACATACCTCCCCCCTAAATAAAACGACGCACTCCCCAAAAATACGCACCGCCCACTGCACACCGCGACGCAAGGCCCGATCATCTAAATAATAGGTACACGTCTCACCCTGCACCGCACTACACAACACAGCCTCTCTGCCAGTACCACCCTTCGCCATCGAGCGTGTCGGTACCGAGCACGTCGTTACTGTGGCACCCTTAGCGGGCAAAAACGTCGCTCAGCTTTTTCTGTAGCTTGTAACCGAGCGTGGTGAGGTGTATGCCGTCCGGGCTGAACCACCGACCCGCGAAGTCGCTCCTGAGCAGGTGGCCCCCGCAGGGGGCTGACCGTGGTCAGAGCTGCTGCTTAGCCGGGGTAACCTGGCCCCGGCTTTGCGGCGGCTGTGACTTCGGCCAGTAAGGGGAGTAGCGCCCCCTCGGCCCCAGCTTGACGCGCGTTTGACCTGGACTTGCTTTGGTTGCCGGATGGATTGCCTGCTGGATTGGCCCCGCAGGGGGTTGGCAGTGGCCTGGGTCGCTGTTGGACTGGGCTCCTTGGGCCCTCGCCCCGCGGCGGCCCTGGCCTCGGCCAGCAAGGGGAGTAGCGCCCCCTCGGCCCCAGCTTGACCCATGCTTGCTTACGATTTGCTTTTGATCACTGGATGGACAGATGGTACGGCCCGACTTTTCTTGGTTTCCGTGGTTTTGTTTCTCTTGAGCGGTCTTTGTTTGCTTTTGCTTTGCTTCTCACCGGATGTCCGCGTTTCGTTCGATCACAGCTTTCTGATTCCTTTCCCCCTTTTTTCGTTGTTTTTTGCACCCGCAGGAACACAGCCGAGTTGGGCTAGTGTAAGGGGAGTGGCGTCCCCTCGGGTACCAGCCGGTTTTACTAGGCTAGGCGAGCCGACCCGTACCCCAGGACAACGGGATCCTGGAGGTTGAGCCCCCCACCGTGCGGAGCCAGTCGCGGTGGCTGGGCAACACGCCTCTTTGGCCCTGAGTTCTGTAAGGGCGGGACACTCAGTGGGGCGCCGCACTTGAGGAGCCATTCCCAGTCGTGACGCCGCCGGGGGTGGTGTCGGAGAGGTGTCGCCGGCGGGGTTCGGGCACTTGTGCTCGTCCTCCGTCGGTGGGACTGATCTGTCGCTGCCCCTGGCGGTGACTCGGCAAGGCGTCAAGGGAGGAGGCGGTATCCGACCGTGGGGGGTGGTGAGTCTCTCTCTCCCCCGCGGAAGGTGCCGCCAAGTCCCGTACAGTCAGCTCGGCCGTCCTAGGCCTTGTAGCGGCGCCGTTGCGGAGCGTCGGCGGCCGAGCTGGCGGAGACCAACTCTTTCACATGGATAACTTGACCGATCCCCCTTCCCCCCAGTCCAATCCCTCGGCCTCGGCCGATCCTCGCCCGTTGGCCTCGGCCGACAGGCGAACGGTGCTCGACAAAGGTCCACGATCTCCTAAGATCCTTATCTTCCGGAGCGCAGACAGGGAGCTGAGCTCTCTGTCGCCCTTCCAGCGGAAGGATGGCTGCGACCGGTTTGGTTCAATCGTTCGTTGCGACCGGATGCGTGATGGCGCGCTGGAGGTCGAGTTCAGGAAAAGCGAGGAGGCGGCGAAAGCGTTGGACGCTACTCGCTTCGTGTTCTCCGAGGGACGGGCATCCGGCCGGAGGCTCGTCTCCATCCCGCTTACAGTGGAACCTCACCGATCTAAGAACTCCTCACGAGGGGTCATTAACTGTTTCGATCTGAGGGGAGTGAGCGACGAGGACATTGCGGACGGGCTCGCCGATTTCGGCGTGACAGCGGCTCGCCGCATCATGACGAAGAGAGACACGGTCTCGACCAACAACATCATTCTGACGTTTGACTCGACTGACTTGCCGAGTGAGATTCGTGTGGGCTACGTGAAGGTTCGCGTACGGCCTTTCGTCCCAGCGCCCATGCGCTGCTTCCGCTGCCAACGTTTCGGCCACACAAAGGACAACTGCCGAGGAAGACCCACGTGCTCCAAGTGTGCTTCGCAGGACCACACTGACGAAACCTGTGACTCGGAGACCCCCCGATGCGTCAACTGCGGAGAGGGGCAGACGCCGCACTCCGCGTATGATAGGTCTTGCCCTGCATACGTCAAGGAGAAGGAGATCATGACCATCAAGGCTACCAGAAATTTGTCTTTCAAAGAGGCCCGGGAGGTGTACAACCAGAGTCACCCGAAGACCTCGTATGCCCAGAAGGTGAGAGTCACAAACTCTACCGATGCCTCCCAGATGAGTGTAGCACAGCTCGTGCAGCTTCTCAAACGATTCGGCCTCACCGTCGTAGCCACTGGTGACTCAGCGGACACCACGGCGCCTCGTGCGCCGCCGAGCAACACAGAGCAGGCTGCTCTAGAGTCAGTGTGGGGTCCACCCAGTCCCGCTCCAGCCGCGAACGGTGATGGAGACGGCTGGGCCGTCGTCCAGCGCCGACAGGGTGGTCGGCGCCCCCCGGCGCAGGGTAAGGCGCCACCCACCCCGCCCCGCCCCCGACCGCCCACGGCGGTGCAGGAGGCGCTGCGGCGGGGGGAGGAGGAGAGGAAGGCACGCGAGGCGAGGAGGGCTCGCCTCGTCCAGAAGGCCCTCGAGGCTAAGGAAGCCTCGTCTGCCGACTCCGCCTCCGGGAGTGCCAAAGCGGCTGTTGCCGCTGACACCCCGGAGACACCCGAGGCGGGGACTCGGCCCATCATGGGTCCCCCGCCGCCTCCTCCACCTCCGCAGCGGCGGCCACCACCGCCGCTGCCAGAGACGCCTGTGTCGAGGACACAGGCCGCCGCCTCGACATCCCCGTCGGGGCGGCAACAGACCTCCGCGGCTCCAGGGCGCCTCGCCAAGCGGCAGACGCCCCCGAGCTGGTCACCCTCGGAGGGTGACGCCCCCCGGGCGAAAAAGCCCCAGCAGGGCTCGAGCCACGCCCGATCTGCCTCTGCTGAAGGGAGGCTACACCGAGAGGGCTCGGGGCATCCCCGTATCCGTTACGGGGGGA